AGATCGAAATCGCGATCCGCGTCTGGCAGTTTCGACAGAATACAGACCACTTCGAATTATTTTATTCGATTAAGCTAACGTGCCTATCACGTTGAGGTTGGCTACGCCAGGATTCGTTTTCAGCAAGTAGATATCCACACAAGTAGACCTTGTTGAAAAATACGTAATCCTAAAATGTAGCATCGTGCTACAGATGGCGTTCACTGTGCCGTTTGTAGTATTTCCTCAACTATTTAAAGCAATTTTAATTTATTCGTTTCTTGGAGCAAAACATTTTGAGTATTTGAAACATTTTAATTTGTTTTATAAGATTTGAAAACTAACTATAAAAAAAAGAAACATTAACAATGTTTGAAAATAGAACCTAGAAGAACGTTCACTGATGTTACTGACTAATGCGTTGGAGGAAGAGTTAATTTATGCGTTGAAAGAAAGTTTTTGAGGTTGCCTAACTCTCGCATTTTACCGACACTATTTCCTTTAAATGTCATGATAAGCTCGCATGTCTCGGTAAACAGAAAAAATTATGCTCAGAAGAATTATTAAAAAGTAACGTATCAGATTTTGTTGTTAAGGAACCTTATTTGTGATATGCCGACGCAGGGACTTTATGGCATAAACATTTTCATATTTTATTATACCTTTTGTGTAAATTATATTGTTATTGGACTTAAATATATTTCCGAAATCTACGGTCACGTAGGCAAATTCGCAGAAGCACAAATGAGGGTTTATCCCATGCTTAGTATATTGTGCATTGATATTACCGTCAATAACCTCGTTATTGGGAGGGATAATTTGTCGATTTCGGAATCTAGTGTACAAAATTTTAAGTTTGATAGAACAGTTCTTTTGTAGACTCGCTGAGAGTAACTAGAGTTTAGTTATTTTCATAATACATTAATAAAAATCAATATTTATAATAAATTAGAATAGGTCGTAGTTGTAAGTTGTACAATAAATTCGTTATATTTACAACTCGGCGTTTCTATGGTCCTTCGAGTTATATATGTGGTACAATTGTACAAAAAGTTCGAATCAATAATTTGAATATTTCGAACGTAAAAAACAGATTTAATGAGCAAGACCAAGGCCTTACACGCAGAACTAAGACGAAGACCAAGATTATATCAGCAAGACGAAGACTAGAAGTATTTAAGCAAGACCAAGACCGAATAAGTGAAACCAAGATCAATATCAAGGCTGGGATCACTTTAATTTAATATCTAAAGGCAGTGTATCGCCATCTATCGGGCATACATCAGTAACAGAAAATATCCAGCAGTTAGCGATATACTGCCGCTATTTGGATATTAAATAATATATTTTGCAATAGGTAACTTGCTACAGAGTTATATAAATTAATAATTAATAAGGATAAGTGCTTGTACTTTAAATTTCGTGTTACCATCAACATTGGCACACCTCCTAAAACGTATTATTGATTACTCCCAGCGCTGTTTTCATCGATGAGGACATCAAAAGTGTTTTCCTCTCTTTGTTAGCGAAACAAACGAATGGGCAGTAATTTGAAAGAAAAACAGCTGCCATCCATTTTTGTATACATTCATCGTCAGTAACAAATTAATATTAATGGAATATACGAACGTTTTCTATTCAGCTTTAAAAATAAATGAAACAGAACAGGATATAAAAATAATCCATATTTCCACATAGTCGAATGCTACGTTTGGATTTAATTCATTCAAATAATTTGAAGTATGTAGGCAATGCATCCTTTATTACCGATTACTGTTTGGGGAAATTGAAAAAATGATGTATGTTATGAATGGAATAAATACATTATAATACACATAGATTTTGAATGTCATGCGAACAATGCTCAACACAACCTAATCAAGCAAGCAAATTTTTGGCCCGGGGATCTGACTATGTATATGTATGTATTTTTTGGGATAGCTGAATTCATATCCGAGGTCAATTTAAGCTCAACACGTCAAGGTTTGGCCATAACCTCAAAAATACTTCAAAATTAATTAAAAACGTAAAAAAAACATTTCGGTCTGGGGGTCTGACTATGTATATCGTATATTTTCGGGGTCGCTGAATTCAACTACGCGGTCAGTTTAACTCCAATACGCCAGGGTTTGGATATAACCTTAAAAAAACACTTCAAAATCAACCAAAACTGTTAATCCTGATAATCCCAAACGATTTTAAACCTAAAATCCGTAATCAATCTACTCTTCCACTAAATGAAATACTTGATAATCCTTTAAACTTCTAACTGTTCGCTCAGTTTCTCGGACCATGTCATCATTTTTAAAATAAATCATTATTAGTTGGATGACTTGCTTCAATATTAGTTAACAATAAAAAATTAAATTTTATTAAATGTTAAAACTTACAAATAACAAATGATGTGAAATCAAACGTACAAAAAGAACGTTAATAACGAAGAAAATCATGCACTATTCAAATTGTTTCAGCAGTCGTAGTCGACAGGAGGAAGGGAAAAAGAGAGAAACCAAAACTATCATTTCATTTTACCATATAATCAATCTTTTTGTTGTTAGTGCTTAAACTGAAACAATTTTTTATGAAGTAGTTACTTAGATGAAATGTGATTTTATTTTATTGTGCGTAAATCTTACCTTGCAAGTGTTAGATAGAGAAACCAACGACTTAATTAATACTAATTTAACATTAAATCGTATTTCTGATGCTCAGAAGCAGCGCTTCCATTTTAGCATCTTTTAAACATTTTTGAAAAGATTCAGTAAATCGTTAGGTGCAGGATTGGCAATGAGGAAGAGCGTGCTAGACGCCCGAAAACGTCAACAGTAGACAAAAACATTGATGAAGTGAAGTAAATAGTATTGGCCAATCGTCGAATCACCGTTAGAGAATATATGAAATCCTACGACATTGTTAGTTACTGGTGGATTAATATGTAANGCGACTCGAGTCTCTCGTTCAGAGACGCTAAACAGTTTTTTTGACAGTCTCTCTCAGCGACACCAGAGAGACTCGATGAGAGACGGAGACTCTAGTCTCGCTTTTAGAGACTCTCAGAGACTGAGCATTTTTATCTCGGGAATGCGCTTACAATTATAAATCATAATGGCCGGCAATGTCAATTACCTTCTTAATTAAAAAGATATCTGATAAGCGTATCACTAATAATTATTTTTGTTTCTTGTTTGTTCCGCCTAAATTTCCAACAGGGTTTCCACATTTAATTATAGCGCAGCACAAAGAAACGCCAGTATGTTTGCAAAGAGACTTGAAATATCTTTAAAATAATGTGTCATCTGACCCCCCGCGTCATTTAAGGTTATTAAAGGGGTTTCCAACCCCTTTAGATGGGTAACCTTACATCCATTAATTTTCAATTAAAATATGTCCCCTTTGAAGGAAAAGTTGGCCTGTTTGCTATTGAAAATTTTCCAAGTTCAAAGTTTTAAATGCGACACCCTGTATGATGTCTAGTTATGGCAGAACGTATATCACCATCGACTGATATAATTTTTTTTTGTTTAAAAAATAAAACGTAGTCGTTGTCATGCTTTGAAGCATTTGATAAATTCATAAAGCTCATAAGAGCACATGATGAAATTGCGTGTTTTTAATATTCTTTTATATTGTAGGTACATTGCCATAAGTATACTCCCTTGTTTGAAACCTAAGTACCGAAACTTTGAATTGTGTGTTATGGGTATTTTTCATTAATTTAAGAAGTTAATGTTGTATATGTATACATTATCCATAGATATTAAGTAAAAGCTTTCGTAATATTAATTATTTTTTTTGAAAGACTTTGAAAGTTTTCTTACCTTGATAATACGTTGGATTCCGAAGCACGCGAAAAATTTTTTGCGTTCAACGGGGAAAGCGACGTGTCTTTTGACGTACAAATTGCTGTAACAGAAAAAAAGGTGAAATACTAAGGGGGAAATAATAATAAGTATATTTTCTTTGGAAAGTTAACGACTGAAATAGCTACAGTAGAAATCGGTTATAACGAACACGGGTTATAACAATCGACATTTTAAGAACAAAATTACATTCCATTTAAACACGTGTTATTCATACTTGTGGATAAAACGAACATATTCATAACGAACGATTGACTTTAGCGAACGTTTTTGAAGGGGAATTTAATAAGTTCGATCGCCTGTAATTAACTAATTTTTCAATGTTCACTAGGGTGGTCGTTAAAAATGAAATTCTTTCGGACCCCCAAAAAAATCCTTCCTTTTGACGAAAAACTACGGGAAAAATTTTGCTTTTTGATTTTTAATAAAAAGAACACGTGCCGACGGCCAATTGAAGTTCATTTTTCGATAAAATTATANGACAGTCTCTCTCAGCGACACCAGAGAGACTCGATGAGAGACGGAGACTCTAGTCTCGCTTTTAGAGACTCTCAGAGACTGAGCATTTTTATCTCGGGAATGCGCTTACAATTATAAATCATAATGGCCGGCAATGTCAATTACCTTCTTAATTAAAAAGATATCTGATAAGCGTATCACTAATAATTATTTTTGTTTCTTGTTTGTTCCGCCTAAATTTCCAACAGGGTTTCCACATTTAATTATAGCGCAGCACAAAGAAACGCCAGTATGTTTGCAAAGAGACTTGAAATATCTTTAAAATAATGTGTCATCTGACCCCCCGCGTCATTTAAGGTTATTAAAGGGGTTTCCAACCCCTTTAGATGGGTAACCTTACATCCATTAATTTTCAATTAAAATATGTCCCCTTTGAAGGAAAAGTTGGCCTGTTTGCTATTGAAAATTTTCCAAGTTCAAAGTTTTAAATGCGACACCCTGTATGATGTCTAGTTATGGCAGAACGTATATCACCATCGACTGATATAATTTTTTTTTGTTTAAAAAATAAAACGTAGTCGTTGTCATGCTTTGAAGCATTTGATAAATTCATAAAGCTCATAAGAGCACATGATGAAATTGCGTGTTTTTAATATTCTTTTATATTGTAGGTACATTGCCATAAGTATACTCCCTTGTTTGAAACCTAAGTACCGAAACTTTGAATTGTGTGTTATGGGTATTTTTCATTAATTTAAGAAGTTAATGTTGTATATGTATACATTATCCATAGATATTAAGTAAAAGCTTTCGTAATATTAATTATTTTTTTTGAAATATGAACAATTCTCTTAAAATATCTTGAATTTCAGATATTTCCTTGATATTTTGACATGGGTAAATGATTTTCAATTAGGAATGAAAGCCTCGATTTCAAAGAAGACAATCCCCAAAATAGTACACGCGAAATAGCATAGAACATTGTTTTCTCTCGTATTACAGTGTGGCAAATTTTAAAGGAACAGTTGCTGCATCCTTATCATTTGCAGCGAGTGCAGCTACGAGAGAATTTCTGTCGGTGGTTTTGAAAAAAAGTGCTGCATACCCTAATTTTTGAAGTGAAACTTCTATATAAACAGGGTATTACGATTATTTTTGTCACAAAAAAGTGTATGAATTTAATTTTTAACGACCACCCTAATGTTCACGATTTATACAATTTGGGGTGTGTTCTTTAATGCTTCTAGAAAGGTCTTTAGCTAGAATGTTGTCGAATATTTAGAATTGACCTCAATTTTAACGTTCTACAGTGAACTGGACCGGATGAATTCAGAAAGTTCTGAAATGTTCGAGGACGTTTGAAGGCTGGAACTGGGTTCTGACACTGAACTAGGACATTTTCATATATTTCGAGCAAAGTGTCCTAAATGAATTTCCTATAGTAGATATGTTTCGTAATACGGAATAAATGCTGTGGATTCTATGAAATATTTCATTAATTAAAACGGAAAATGTAACTAAAAAACCCGAAATAACCACAACGTACGTAAACTGAATAAATAATTAAAATACTTACACTGATACATATGCGGTGGTGGAATGGAGGAGACTAGAGAAGTTGAATCCGGATCCATGTTTCTCCCTTCGACCGTAATAGTTGGAGTTCCTTCCGTTGTTGAATCCGAAAGATTACCACCGACCGATGTAGCTCCGCTTTCTCTGTCCGAACTGACCCTCACTCCCGAATCGGCGCTGCAACTGCCCCGGTCGCCAGGAAGTAAACCCAAACTTTGATGTCCTGACAAAATGCCGCCGGAACCAGGAGTTACGGCACCACCGTTGGCACTGTGTCGTGGCAGTGAAACTAAAGACTCTTGATCCGATACACAACCACTTGAGGCTAACTGACGCCGGGCCTAGTGGAATACGAAGGCTACATTTAATTCGGTCTAGTTGGTTTAAATTTTGACAAGAAATTAAAGTTTATTTGTTCCTACTGAAGATTAGTTAATGGTTAGGAATGTTGGCGAATTAGATGCTGAATGTGATATACAATACACACATGTATTGTTTTAAGTATTTCTATTCATCTGCGTTATGCATCACATGAAGTTACTATCAGATGTATAATGTTGTAACCTAACTCATAAAAAATCGGGAAATTACAGGAATGTAAACTTTTGACGTTATAGCAGTTTAAACCAAAGTGTCTAAGAAAGTGCATATATATAAAGGTGTAACAGTAATAAGTGCTGAGCTTGCAGAAGGTGATAGAGAGCTAAAACATGAATATTAAGTAATGTTTGTATGTCTTAAAGTTCACCATTTTCGAGAAAAATGTAGCTGAAAGTACAGGTAAATTCGATTTCGGCACTGTTAAAAAAATACGGCCCCCAACGCTGCATTCAATAGCCTGGTGACTACTAGCATTAGTGTAGTACTTGTTTTGTATTTTTTTACTTATGTATTTTTTATTTGTTAAATTAGATTAAGTGTGATTCAAGGTGTTTATGTTACCAGCCGACTTCTAGTACTTAAACCTTGTATGAGACAATCGATGTGCAGTTCAATAAAGTAATTCAGCAATAAACAATAATCATTCCTGCAGGTTAGTCGCTGTAGAACAGTTGTTGTTACAATAATGTGACATGATACGTATTTATGGGTTTGAACCATATTGCCGCTGTAGGAACGAAAGCCTCGATCTCAAAGAAGACAATCCCCAAAATAGTACACGCGAAATAGCAGAGAACATTGTTTTCTCTCGTATTACAGTGTGGCAAATTTTAAAGGAACAGTTGCTGCATCCTTATCATTTGCAGCGAGTGCAGCTACGAGAGAATTTCTGTCGGGGTATTACGATTATTTGTCACGAAAAAGTGTTACAGCCGCGTGGAGGGGGCAGACGGTATATCGCGTGACGAGAGACGGCAGTGCCTGAGGCAGAGAAAGACTGGTGGCGGCGGAGAGAGGGCGACGGCTGTATTAAATGAATATAATGTGTAGCCGCGCGAGGAGAGAGGAGCCCGCTAGAGTCCTAGCGGCGTGTGCTGTGCTCAGCTGTTGTTTTCTTACCTCTGTCCTCCACGTGGCTGGGTATCATTGCCTCGATTTGCGGTCTGTGTAAAAACCAAATCATAATTCGCAGTAAACCTGTGAAAATGAAATGTGTACTGGGAGACATAGCAGAAGTGAAACTTCAACGGATAAGTGGAAAAACGAATCGCAACAAAATTTTCACTTGATGTTTTACGAGCAAGTTTTCAAATTGGACAAGTACATTAATAATCTGCCCGTAAAACTTAAAGTATAAATTTTGTTGTGATTCGTTTTTCTACTTGTTCGTTGCTATTTGTTTTTCCACTTGTCCGTTGAAGTTTCACATCTACTGTGTGTCCCAGCACACATTTAGTTTTTTCAGTACAGGCACATTTGCGTCACGCGGGATTGAATTCACAATAATTACTATTGGAGGAACGCAAATTCGAATGTCGTACACATCCTTCTCGATTCAAGAACTGCTTTCGGTAAATGTTTTCTGTATAGTGTGGCACGTTTACTTGCAACCACCCCTTAAAAGGTTACTTGCCTCGAAAATTTGCCTTTGTAAAATTATGATGCTCATTTACCGACTAATAAATACATAACTAACATTTTTTTTTTAGAGTTCGTACATTAGATAGTGCTGTCTGTAATGTACTTATTTTATTACATTACATTACATTACATTAAGTGTAGTAGTAAATCACTTATGTTTACCTTAAACGTACGAAAATCGGCAATGTTTACATTCTCCGTCCATGTAGTTGTAGTGTATTTTTAGCACTACGCTATTCGGATGACACATGCTACCAATTCACGCACAGGACCGATTTTATATTGTAAATTCTAGTGATCTTATTAAACTTTTTTGTTCTTAATAACGTTGCTGAACTCTACTTGCGATTGTTTATTGTATTTAGTTTACATCTTCCAAAGATCGGCACTTACTGCTGGTACACTTTGTATAGCTAAGTTTTGCAAAATATGATCAATGGCTGTAACAAATGTACTTAGTGGCTTTATGCAAAATTACATATGTATGTAGTGCTTGTAATTAGCTTTGATGACGGTTAGTGGTTGTGAGTTTATAATAAGAGTTAGTTCTCAACAGTCGTGTATGTTTCAGTAAATTGTTTAGAGTTGTTCAAAATGTTGGAAAGAACTGCCTTAATTATAAAGTTGCCTGAGGCGATTTCTGAAGTAAATTCTAGAATACCTCATGCAGTGTTTGTACAAGTTGATGAAGTAATTTTACCAGCAAAACGTTTGTTAGCAAAACTTACAAAATATATTGCGTACAGAAGACAAAACTCGACCAATGTAGGTTCTCTTTTTGCTAACATATTATAATTTCTAACAGTCTGCTAGACAGACAAACCAAAAATTGGTTCCAATAAACTCTAAAGCGATTTTTAAAGAAACAGTAAAGTTTAAAATTTTTTCCTTACAAAGTGGTTTTGGAGATTGACTAAGTGATGCATAACGCGGACTTTTCCCAAAGATCTTTGCTAACCCGGGTAAGCCTAGGATTGCTTCCATTGTTAGCATATCAGCAACAAATAAAATAGGAGGAAAATAATGCCTACAGGCCTAGGCACAGACTTGGGGTATATCAAGGGAAAACATCAAAAGTTTAATTATTTTACTGTGTATTAATAGAATTTATGCCTAAATGAAATCTAAGAAATTATTTTTTATGAAATTTTCAGTGGTAATTGAATTAATTAGGGCAATGTACAGTAATTATAGAAAATTTTATCTAATAATCTATACTCATTATTAATAATATGTATAAAAACAAATTTTGACAATAATTAGCATTTATTTGCTGCATTTTGCATATGAAATACGTTTACATATACTTCGTTTACTTTCTGTAGCGATGTGACCTTCAGTTTGACCGGCGCAAAGTAGAAAAGAACAGCACTAGACCAGAAAAGAAAGGAGACAATTCTCGGCCAAACTCTTAACCGGTGAGGAGCGTATAATCCGTACAGTACTGCACGGAAAAATTTGATCATTTTATCCACTAAAATTGCATTGCTTAAATGTGCTGTTATTGGTACCATTTACTATTGAAAATATCAACGAGATGTTTATTTATATTTGAAGACATATTAAAAGCTTTAACGCTTGTTTTCGACTCGCACTACTATTCATGATTACAAAAATTTTGGCAGGTACTGTATGAAAAAGCATGTTTAATGAACAAGAGTCGAGAGTATACTGAGCTTTTCTCTCCCTATCTACGATTTTCCCAGCTCGCATCCAAGACATTGGAAGGGGCACATCGCTAGAGAAAGTAAATGAAGTATAGTTAAATACTTAACCATTTGTCAATACAAGCCCACTGTTAGACCCAGATATGATATTCTTACCCTCGTCCTCCACTTTTACAAATAGTTTTTGAATACCGTAAATCTGAATAATTAAACTAATAAGTATTGTTTTCTTGAAGATACCCTAAGAAGGCGAAATATCCATAATGCAATTACTTTCAGTTATACTAGAGATGTGATTGATTTTGGGCTTCTGTATTACAGTTTTCCATTTTCAATTATTATAAGGCCGGTTGTCTACGAAGCCGATCAAACTTTTGATCCGGCGGTTTGGAGGGTGATTGAACGTTCTCATTCCGTATAAATTAAGTGACGCACAATAAACACACTTATTCATCCGAAGAGGGCGCTGTACTTGAAGATTCAACGAAAAACTGTAATTATATTAAATCGACCATTTCGTAATTGAACGTTTTTTTTCCTTAAGAAAGACATATTAATGGCTACAAGTCGCGGTTAGCACTACTAGCATATCATACACGTGCAGCGGAAATGAGTTTTGGCAATCATGGACAAGTTGACACGACACACGATATTTTTGAAAGCATACATTTGGTTACATTGAATATACGTGTCTTGTAGTATTTTTATCGCACGATTTGTTAATACAAATCAGAATATGTTTGTGACATTTTTTACTGCAACGATTTTAATATCGGATCGCATTAGTGTGAAATAAATCGTGTCGTTATCGCACTGTGTGAAAGTGGCCTTATCGTGCTTACAGCGTCTTGCCGCAACCGCCATAAGTCGGTCGCGTATGCGGTATGCGTCGGCCGACTTGTATCGGATTGCGTTGTGACAGTTGATCTCCTATTTGGTATTTCATACTCATCAGCTACTAATGTTTTTATGTGGGCAGACCCTCTAGATTACGCCGGAGTGAAGGGCGGAAGACCCTCACAGGAATTGTAGATGGTTCGGGTGAGATAAACGAGACGGGTGAAATGAAGACCGAAAAGAGTGGCAAATTATGTGTAGAATATTGTTACTTCAGCATTTGCCTAAGTGAAATGCGAATATTAGCTCAGGATAGGAAAGAGTGGAGGTTCAACCACTCTTAGGACTAACGACCTTATGATGATTTGCCTAAGTGATCCACGGAAACCATAGAATTTGAATCACGGCAGATGGACCTGGAATCGAATCGGCGTTTTCCCAAATACTAAACCTCTAGACCACGTCGCCCCGTCGTGATAGTAGATATTACTACACTTATTTACATATATTTGCCCCATCTGCATCGCCCTACGGACATAGCGGCATGACCTAGAGGTTTAGACTATTGCTTAGCATTTGGGAGCACCCCGGTTCGATTCCGCGTTCGTCTGCCTTGGTCTATGGTTTCCTTGGATCATTTAGGCAAATGCTGGGGCATAATATTTCAAAGATAATCTCTCATTCTCTTCTGTCTTCATTTCGTCCGTCTCATCTTTCTCGCCCGAACCACCACCCACTCATTCCCACGATTCTTGGAAGGAGGCTGAAGAGGGCCTTCCGCCCTACCTTCCGTGTAGTCCGGAGGGACTGCCCGC